TTTTAATTAAGAAAACAAAAATATTAAAACAAAATTGGTTTAATATATATAATCAAAAAAGTTCCAATAGTAGTAAAGATTTTTTAATCACGTGATTTGTTATTATTTTTACAGGTTATTATTTGTTAATAATATTATAGGCAGGATTATTTCACTTATAATTATTTCACTAATGATCATTTTATCCACACAGATAAAAGTTAATTAATTTTGCAATAAAATATTTAATTGTGACACATGTAGTGGATCCCATTTTTCACCATTTTTATGTATAATTGTTGTCTTTATTTAATAATAAGATGGCCATAACATTTATTTATGCATATAATTATATAATAAAATTATATATAATAAATAACATATCAGATATTATTATCACTTTAATAATTATGGTTGTGTTATTTATTATTTTCAGATTACAGTAAAAAATAAATAATTTGTGATTATTTCGATTACGTCCTTCCTTTTTTGTACATCACGTGATTATAAATTGTCCAATAATCTTTAAATATTTTAATGACAAATGACCAAATGACAAAGGACGCAAATGACAATCAAATGATACCCAATCATTTGGCATTTGTCATTTCGCGAATAATTTAAATGCCAAATGCCAAATGATGGGGTGTCATTTGACCAAATGACTCCTAATCCGAAAAATGGTCAAATGACCAGGTCATTTCCGAACACTGCAGCAACTCGGCATAAGATTTCCATTGCGTTCGAAGGAGGTGTATTCTCGTCATTTTCAAATAAAGTTTCTATCGAACCTGAGTTCAAGGGATGTGATGGAATGTTTTCATATTTAAAAGTAATATTAAGTTCACGACAAACTTTTTTTTGTTGTTGTTCATCTTTCGCTGTCGATTTAGGACTTCTTTTTCTTTTTCTTGAGTCCTCATCCTCTATTTTTGATTTAGTACTATCTTGAATTCTTTTTCGTAGGTTCCAAAAGTTTTTTACCATACTTTCAGAGCGCAATTTCTTGAATTCACTTTCCATTAATGGAATTAATGATTTCCAAGGTATTGCATTTCCTCGTGGTTCACTTTCAACCCATTGGATAATAAATAATTTTTCATCTATATCAAGAGGTTCAAGACAAACTATAAAAACAATGTTCATTGGAGATAGAGAAGAAGAATATTTATTTGAAAAAGAATTTCGTATAAAAATATAGCATTAAAAAAAATGTAAGATACTTACGGTTTGTATTGAGTTTACTTGTCCAACTAAATCATAAACATATAAATGAATAATAAATAAGTTATATAATTATATAATGTCTAATTGTATATAATAGTTTATCTTACCGTTGACGAATTTGTTTTGAAGTATAATTCGTATTATGTAGTTTATTAATTTTTTGACTAATCTTCACATAAGGGTTGGAAGACTGTCCAAACTCTTTCATAAACCCTTTAATAGAATTGTCAACCTGTATAGTGAAGGGCCGAGCTCTAATTTGTGGTACTTTTATTTGCAATTTGTCTTTCAAACTAGTAATTTAATAAAGTAAATAAATATATAAAATAAGGGTTTTGTTTTTTATCGCACCCGCGATATGTCGCAAGGGCATGCGCCTCCTAATTTTATTGGCGAAAAATTTTTTTGTGGCGCGTCAAATTTCAATTGTAACACGATCTTAAAAAATTTTTTTTTAAAAAATTCTTCGATCTGTTTTGGTTTCTTTGTCCCTACCCTTTAATAAAAACAAACCTTTACATTTCTTTTCTAATTACGTTTTCATTAAAAACATTGTTTATCATGTTTATATTCGATGGTTGGTTTCTTTTTTCTTCTTTTTTGTCTTGTTTTGAAAACTACACTAAAGGTTTTTTTTTCTTTTTTCAGGTCCTTTGCGTTGTGGATTTTGACGTTAATATCATTTGAAAAGAGACTTTTCGTTCTTTAAAGACTCGGTAGGTGAAGTTTAATACACCGTGTTTAATAACCTTAAAAACACTATTAACGATTTTTTTTTTTACTTTAGATTCTTTCACTTTAGATTCTTTTCACAACGGAAGTTTAATGTCAATTTCGTTACTCTTCCTTCTTCTCATTTGGAAAAAATATTGGTAAGTGTCGGTTAT